TCATGATTTGGCGCTATATAAATACACTTGAATTGAATTGAATTGAATTAATATTGTATATTTACTTTATAACATTTATTTTTATAATTCTAAAATATTTTTATTGACATTAGCCTATAAATAGATCAATTATTTTTAAATATTTGTTATTTTATGCATCAGGCATTCTGCATTACAACTTCCTACCCCATCATGAGCATTAAAAGCTTTAGCTATATTTAGTTTATACCTTCTTCTTTTTGGTCTGACTATTGATAAAACCCCCTCTGTCTGCACAGCCTGAGTCCCTACGTCTGAGTAAATGTCAGGATTAGTCAGATGTTCCACTCAAAGGAAGCTCTTCCCTCTCATATGGACAGCTTAAACACAGAAGCACAGACTTCACCCTCACACACACTACGAATGAAGAAAACCTGAGAGGAGTGAATAATAAAACCTGAACTTTCATCCATCCATCCACCCGTGTCGTTTTGGATGTGTGCTCTCCACGGAAACACGTGCACACAAAAGCAAACAGACAGTTACACACACAAAGGCACATACACACACACCCTTTATTAAACTGTGTCAGTGTGAACACCTGCCCACCCATCGCCTGCTAGCTGCACGAGTAAATACACGCCAAACACACACAGCTTTTCGCCTCCTAATTTCTTGCAAATAAATATAGATGCCGAGTTGAAAACCAACGTTGACTCATCATTATACATTGCTGTTTCTCCTTGTTTGGTTGAATAGTTTTAAGCAAGTCTGATTCAAACAACCAAGAGGTATCACAATTGCCAGATTGGGGAAAAAATGGTGCCTTAAATATTCCCTTATTGTCTCTTTTAGCATTGGAAAACAAGAAGAAGAGATAATTCTATCCCACAATCCTTTGCGGTCACATTTATCAAAGTGATGCTTGTACATTCTTATCGTTGTTCATGTAAATAAGTGCGAGAGCAGGACAGAGAGTGTGTGAGGAGCCTGTGAAAACAAAAGCGTTGAGTTTTTTTCTTTTGTTTATTTCAGCATAAATAGCACAAGAATTAAAAAACATGACGAGTTTTGATAAAAACTGAGACGAAGGACATTCTGAGTCTCCTTCTAAGTGAAATCGTCCTGCTTTTGGCTGCAGTTTCTGTTAAAAAGACACACCAGAGTGTTATTGATCCTTTAATCTAACTCTTTACAAGGAAGCAAACAAGCTTACATCCCAAAGTGTCAGACTTTTCCTTTAATCTGCTTCTTGGCTGCTTGATTAACCACAAATATCCAGAGCAATCAAAGACATCTAGTGGTGTTTTCTCTGACTGGCATTTAAATCCCAATTTCCCCAGAAAATACCCACATTTAAAATGCAGGAACTGGAGAATTTTTGTCACTTACATTTTAATTTGTAAATGTCTTCAAAGGTTAATGGGTTGTAAAAATAGGGGCTGATTCATTTTCGGTCGTGTTAATTATGCAAATACGTTCCAGGCTCCTCTAACCAGCTCTGAGTCGGTGAAATGCCTGCTCCATTTTAGATTCGGCTTTTTGAATTTAACGTGGCACGGTGCATCCTCCGAACAGCTGACCAGGACACGACACAGAACAGGGATGAAGCCATAAGTGACAACAACGAGCCAAAAAAATGTTCAAAAGCTGACCAGGTGGGACAAAATGAATACAACTCAGGAAGAAAATCTCTTTTTCCTTTGTAAAGTGAATTTGGTTTATTGTCTGCCTTTTTTCCCTTCCTCTCACTGTCTTTCTTTGCCTTCAGCTGCCTCTGACACTCCTCTTCCTCTTCGCACTTAGAGACAGCCTCTCTCACCTGAAATTAAACACAAGACCAGGTGCCACTCTGATACATCTGCTCCCCCCGCCTGACTTCTATCTCTTTCTTCCTCTTTCTCCCCATCTTTCTTCTTTCCCATTGTCAGCGGAGACAAAAGAGCCATAAGAGTGACTCTTTCTATCCAGAATTGAGAAATGCTCGAAGAAGAAAAGAAGCAGTGCTGAATGTTAATGACATCTTTCAGTTTTTTTTTCTCTTTTTTCTGCTTTCAGGTGTGCTTTCATTTAGGCTCTCTCCTCCCAGTCCCATAATTGCTATCATGTTATTCCTTTTGTATCACCCTGGCCATGAGATGCCAAAGTTAATTATTCTCTGGCAGCGCAGGTGCAATTACATGACAATTACAGCACAGCTGGTGGCAGGGGTGGGAAGCAGATCTTGTCCGTGTGGGCGTGTTTGCAGCTAATAAGATGGTTTTCGTTCTTTTTTTTTTTTTCCTTCTTTGGTGAAGGAGAGGGGGCAGGGAAGGATTGGAGAAACGCAGGAGGGTTTAGCTTGTCCACATGGCTTAGAAGTAAGAGGTAGTGAGGAGGAAAAGCACAGGCGGGGGAGAGGGTTTTAGCGAGGGCGCTGGGCCCTGCTGATCCTGCACAAGAGGTCAGGAAGGTCACACTACTGTCATGGTAACAATGGGAATTCTTTTATTGCCAATCATAAACACAGCTAACTCCTTAAAACGGTGCAACTTCCCTCCAGTTGTTTCCAAGCTGAAATCTATTCTATAGTTAAAACCTCTAATGCCACGTGCACACGCAGCTTTTTATAAAACCATTTATCCTCCCCCGTTCAAAAGAAATTGGGTCCACACGACCTCTTTTTGAGCAAAAAAATTTCAATCCATTGCATTGTGAAGCACATTCAGAAGCATGCCAAGCCTGTAGGTGGCAGTAGTTTCCTAAATCGTCTGCATTTTTGCCATAAAAAAAACATTACTTGTAAATGTAATAGCTAGATGGGTAATAATCATTGTTAATGTCGTCGTTCTCCTGTGGTCTTCTACATAGAGCAGTCATCGAGCTTTTAAAAACAAACAAGCGGATGTAAACACAAGTCGCACACAGGGTGTAGGAGCGTTTTTGTCTCAGGCAGTGACACTGAAAAACCCAAAACCCAGATTAGTTACTCCCACAAGAAAATGCTGACAACGGAGAATTAGCAAATTTCCACTTTGGTCTTATGAAATAATTGTTTATGGTGACATTTATCTTCACTTTCGTGTGGATGGCAGGCCAGAACGTAAAAAATAGATCTTGGTTGTATGGGATAAGCTGGCTACATGTGCACAGGGTTTAAGAAACCAAATGCTGAATTTAAGTTATGTCAACTAGTTCCACTAAACCTTGTTGCTTAAAAAATAATATACTTTTACTTTTAACGTAGCAACTTGTGACAATGTAAGTCCATCCATCCATCCATCCATCCATCCATCCATTTTCATCCGCTTATCCGGAGTCGGGTCGCGGGGGCAGTAGCCTAAGTCGAGAGGCCCAAACTTCCCTCTCCGCCACTTGTGCCAGCTCCTCCGGGGGAATCCCAAGGCGTTCCCTGGCCAGGTGAGAGACATAGTCCCTCCACCGAGTCCTGGGTCTACCTTTAGGCCTCCTCTCGGTTGGACGTGCCCGGAAAACCTCACCAGGGAGGCATCCAGGAGGCATCCTGACCAGATGCCCGACAATGTAAGTTAGTCAAATAAATTCAACATTTCATTTCTAGAGCGTATGTTTACTGATTGTTGTGTACACGGGAGTTGCCTACGCTAAATAACAACAATAAGCCTATTCTAATAGCAGAATGGGAAATGGTCTGTATTTGTATAGCACCTTCTTAGGGTTCTACAACCCCCCAAGGCACTTCACATCACAATCAGTCATTCACCCATTCACACGCTGGTGATGATGTGCTACAAGGTAGCTACAGCTGCCCTGGGGCGCACTGACAGAGGTGAGGCTGCCGAACACAGGTGCCACCGGTGCCTCCGACCACCACCAGCAGGCAAGGCGGGTAAAGTGTCTTGCCCAAGGACACAACAGCAGAATTCTCTGGTCAGAGCCGGGATCGAACCTGCAACCTACTGATTACTGGACAATTCGCTCTACCTCCTGAGCTACTGCTGTCCAGAAAATGAAATGACAATGATTCTTACATTTGTGGGTATAAGCTTCAAAAATATCACTTTTCATTCTTCTGTATGAGCTAGTAACTACTTTAACTACAGTGTAAAGCGTTCAATCTAAAGAAAATACTTTAAAGTAGTAAAAAACTCAAATATTTTCTGATCTTTATAATAAAAAACAAATAAAATAAGCCAAATCGTATTAAAATCAGCCGTTAGATCACTACATTTTTACAGCTGTAGAAACATATGAAGTAAAATTCACATTTTCAGCATTAGGCTGTTTCAAATAACATAACATAATTTTTTATTTTTTTACATTTATTTCCCCAAATTTTGTTGTTTTTGTGCGAGAAAAAAAAATACATGAACCTGAAAATAATTTTTAATCCACATTTCTCAAGAACTACAGTCATCTCTCCTGCTGACATTCAGGAGTGTCGGAACAAAAACCGAAGAGAATGATTTAACAAAAATAACCCAAAGGAAATGGGGGTAACGCCTTGTTAGTAAAAGAGGAAGCAGTGGCAGCAACTCAGGGAGCACACTCTGTCTCAGTAATTCCTTGCCTTGTCGCTTTGTCTCTCATATAGACGGTTATTACAGAGACGCGGCTGTCATGTCACATTTAGCTCTGGAAATGTCATTTGGCAGCACACCTGCTGCCTGGCTGTGCTAATAAAGCTAGGTTTCACTTTGATTAGAATTCAGTGGGAGAGGTGGGGGAGGCAGAAAAGAAGAGAAACATCGATGAGATTAAGAGCTGGAAAAGTCACTCCAGCAATGAGCCTCATAGACGTCTCTCTCGACCCGTGACATGTAAGCAAGATGACTCGTGCTGTAGCTAGATGGATGTGTCTGGATGCATCACATAGGAAACATAAGAGGGAAAGCAGCCTCTAACCTTTACTGGAGCACATCGGCTAAAGGCTGAAGCCAAGCCCACATGTCGAGGTGGGTTTGTTATTCCTTGTGTCCGCGTACGTCTGCGTTGTACGTTTGAATGGCCTGGCATGCTGCCTAATCTGCTCCCTAGACGCAGAAAGACAATGACACACTCACCCCTGGTAGGGTCTTCTGCTCGTGGAGTGCATTCTGGGCTTTGAGGGCAGACTCACGTGCACAGTATGTGAGGAAGGCACATCCTGAGAAAGACAACGGGTAGAACATCATCCATAAGATGTAATAAAACACTTAAAAGTACCGCAAGTGTCCTGTTTTCTAAACGATTCCAGGTTAGACTTGTATTTTGCACTGATTGCTGTTTTCTAGACCAATTTCCACTTCCTAACTTGAGTTTTTGTCACTCACTGTACCTCAAATATGAGCTATTAGAAGCACAAATTAGCTTCGAAGCTATGGTGTGCTCACAAATATGGAAAATAAAAGGTCACGCTGAAAATTGGCCAGCTTCAGGCATTTGCCGAGTAATCGGTGTGCCCCTGTTTAAAACGTGTGAAAACTTTTTTGTAAATGCCAGAAACAAAAACAATTCTCACTTTGTTCATTTGACTCCACCTAAGATTTACTAAATCATAACGTCTGGAGACACACGAAGACTTTATTATCACAGTTTGAGCCAAATGTATGCAGTCCCACATAACAGAAAAAGCCTTCATTAACCTTTAAGGCTCCCTCACGTCATGCATATGTAAATATATGCAGAATAGGTGTTATAGGTGTTCGAAGGCTGATACCACCTGGCCCGTACGTCTCCGTTTTAAAAGCTCTTTGTTTTCATCGCTCAGATTTGCATTGGAAATGACAGCAAGGATCATTGTTCAGATAGTTTCCCTGGTCTCAGTCCATCTGTCAAAGGAGATCTGTTGAATTTTCATTCAAATGATGAAAGGCTTAATCACCTTGTGATGAAGCGTAGTAACATGAATACTTCTATTACTATATGGAACAAATTTTATAAAATTGCTTTTATTTGTACTTTTTATGTCATGAAAATCTCAAATTCTTGAAATTTAATTATTTATTTGTATTTTATACTTTAACTTTTTGCTGTTTATTATATTAAATAAAGTATGACTGCAATAAAACCCATTTGTTTGTGACTGAATGTATGATTTCACACATCAAAAGGGTATTTCAGCCATTTTGAAGTGCATTTATGTGTAAAAGTTAAATAATATATTTACGATATTTACTATTGTATCTATTGTAGATCACTTCCTGACCAGCTTCTGCTCAGGGAGATATAGTTTATGTCCTTCTGGGCTGATGAGCTAACAGACAGGATTATAACAGCGCCAGCAGCTCTTTCGGTGGATTCAGGGGTAAAGTCTGGCAAGAAGTTATTTATACTTCTATTAAAATAACTGCAAAATTAACATCAATGTAACATTTTATAAAATAACTGCATTCATTTCTCCAGTGAAATTTTGGCTGTACACTTGAGTGTTGGCTGCATTTGGGAATGCTATTAGCTCATCAGTCCCATTTGACCCAAATTTGATTTCTTCAAACTCAGGCTGTTCAGAAAGCCACCAGCAATGGGAACGATATAGGGTGACCGTATTTTTATTTTTTAAAAGCAGAGGACACTTGGCCTGCTTGGGAACCTGTACCTGCTGATGATGTCACACTATGGCAACACCACCCGGATCAATAAAATTATGCCCCATTTTTTTTTACCAAGCTAAATGCTTAAATCAATATCAGACTCTATCAACAAAACTGCTTTCTAAACGATTTATATGTGAATTTTTGCATGAATTTAAATGATCAAATGGATGTGTGTGTAAGTTTTGAATTATTTTATATACTACACTTGTTCTTATGTTGTTGTAATTTGTTCAATAAAGATTATTTTTAAAATAGTGTCTCATTTCATATTTATCCCCACAACATATTTTTCCAATGCTAGGAAATGAATTTAAGTATTTAAATAATTGTATTTATTTGTTGTGTGCAGTCTCAGATTATTTATTGGACCAAATATCAGTTACCACGGTAATAATGTGTTTTATTATAAAAGTCATCCAGTTTTCATACAAATTCAAGTAGATATAGCTATCTGAGTGCATTATTTGCGAAAGTAACAACCACAATTTGTCCGGACTAACCAAAATGTTCAACATCAAAGCGCCAATGTAGCTTCCATAATTGGTTCAGACCAACTACAATCTTCAATGTCACACAGCCAACATAACGTCTGCAATTTGTTTGGACCAACCAAAATCTTTGATATTAACGTACCAATGTTTCTTAACTGTAATTTGTTCGAACCAACCCTTCACATCCGGTAATTTAAATATGGATCCCTTGAAAAACCATGAAAACCCTGACAGTTTCTTCAATCTATGAATTTCCCACAGACTTGTCCAGGGAAATTAGGACATTTGGTTACCCTAGACCAGGGGTGTCAAATATGCGGCCCGCGGGCCAAATCCGGCCCGCAAGCGGCTTAAATCCGGCCCACGAGATGGTTGTGTAAACTTTATTTTCATACTTTACAATGTAGAGTGAAAATAAACGTATCTTTGTGAGCAAGTTTTCTCTGTAATGAGTATAAATAAAACAAAGCTGCGCTCAAGGCTCACACCAGAACTTGAATCACATCCTGAAGTTAGCCGCCACTCAGGATGTGACTTCTGATATTGATGTGCTGGTGAAAGCTAAAAGATGTAAAGTAAAATGAGTCAAATATACTTTAAGTGCTGCATGAAACTGATCTTGCCATGTGATCTGTAAGCTCTGAATCACTAAGGAATGTTTTATTTATTTGTTGATTTTTTTTCTTTTTCAAATTTTCAAGTACACTTCAGGTGTTGTACTTGTACTACACTGTCCTCAGGCTCCAGCCTTGTTTTATATTGATTGTATTAAAACAAAGAAAACAATCTGAATTTTTTTTTATTTACCGGTCCGACCCACTTGGGACTAAATTTCCCTCAATGTGGCCCCTGAGCTAAAATGAGTTTGACACCCCTGCCCTAGACCAACAGGAATATTTTATACTTTTGCACAAAAACATGTTTGAAAATGGCTGAAATTCCATTTAAAACGAATAAAAAGAGAAACCTGCTAATGTGCACTGAGGCTACTTAGGCTAGTCGTTTCATGTGTTCAACGCCATTATTCTACAATTAGTCATTTTCAGCGTTAAATTGGAACACAGAAAATGGACTCAGGATAATGCTCATTGGCCTTTGATGGGAAATTTGGGGGAAGTTCTCTTTTTCTGAGTCAAGATATGAAATTCAAATTTCTACCTATGTACAAACAAAGAATTGTAGCAGAGAAACAGCTTTGTTTGCTGACACATGCTCATATCAGTTCTTCGGAGGTATTTTCTCTGACCTAAAAAAAATTACTTATCTTTGTTTTTTGTTATATTTTTTTTCATGAGCAGCTTACTCAGGAGAATCGAATTTAAAGATTCAAAACTGAATAAACAGGATCAGATATCCTGTTTAGATCAATGGGCACATTGGGTGTTTGGTCTCATGTGGGTCTTTATAAAATGCTCAATAGAGGAAACAGCTCAATTAGAAGTGGTTGAACACAAATCATATTTACAGGAAATCCATTTACACCTGGAAATTACAGATGGAAAAACTTGATCTGACTCATTCTCACCCTTCGCTTACCTTTGTGCATCCCCGTGTATTTGTCTTTTATCACAGTCAACTCATAAATCTTGCCAAACTGCTCAAAGATGGGCTTCAGGTCCTTCTCCTCCAGGTTTCGGGGTATTTGCCCGATGAAGAGCTTGATTGCGTCAGGCTCCTTCATTGAGAAGTCTGACGAGAAAGCAACACAAACACAGAGTGGAGGCAATCAGGAGCCTGCAGGCTTAAATTCACACTAAACAGGAGGTGCAAACAGGAGGCTGGGGATGGAAGTGCAGATGGGAGCGTTCAGTTGGAATGGGTGGCTAAAATAGCGTCTTGATGTGGTAGGTTTTTAATATTTCACAAAAAAAGCATTTATATGTAAATGTTTTCATGTTTTTTAATCAAAAATGCTTTTAAAGTCATCCAAGATCATTGTAAAACTCCGTATTTGCCATTTAATAGCTAAATCTGAACATTTTATCCTGGAATAGGGTCAATCTAGTAAGGACTCAACAAGTCAAGCTGCATTTTTGTTAAAGATTCAAGCACAAAAGCATTCATTTTTTTACTCAGTTATTAAAAAATATAAGAAAATCTTATTTTTTTAATATTCCAAATTCACAATGAAGATTCAGAACAGCACCTAATGTGAACAGGCTTTGCATCACATTACCCTAATATTTTATGAATAAATGAGCCTTTTTTTAAATAAACAAATAAGACTGTAATCTCAAAACAAGATTTTCCTGCTGTGCAATCTGCGCTCGGCCGCCAGATTTGAGCCCCAACATGACAGAGTGTCAGTCATCACAGCTGGAGACCTGCGCTCTCTTTGTCAGTGACAACAACAATGAACCTGCACACGATTTCACACATGTGAGTAAAAACACAGCAAATAAACAAAGACTTATCAGAGAACCCATACCTGTGGTGCCGATTGTGATGGTGGGGGAAAATCGGTGCGATCAGTGGATTTCCGTCTTTTCCCTCCGATGATGATTTTTATTGTTATTGTTAGAATGAAAGCCGTTAGTTCATTTGTGTGTCGGAGCGTCTGATTCCTGGAACAAGTTAGGCCTGCTCGTCCCTTAAAACAACACAACTAACATCCAGCGACGGTCCTTTATTCGGCATGAGCGTGTTTTCACAGATCGGCCCTTCGGTTTTTTTCCACTACTCTTTTCTGACAGATCATCCGTGATTTAAAATAAAAATAAACAAATCTCTTACTGGCTTGGCTCAGCGGAGAGTCTTGTGACGGACCGGAGGGAATTGGCAGTCTGTCTCTCCTCTTCTCTCCCTGTGTGAGCGTGTGTATGAGTGTGTGTGCGCGCGCGTGTGTGTATGTGTGTGTCTGTACTCCTTTGACGTCGTAAGCCGGTGTCTCCCCCCCTGTCCATCTCAGCTCCATCCCTCCCCCGGGCTGTTTGAGCCGTGATGTCTGCCGCTAGGGACCGTTGCTAAATTACCAGCCTTTGTCATGAGGAAAACGTGCTCCACATCTGATTTAAACCGAATAAAACATTACACATCTCACACACACTTTCATCAATGTACTTTTATTACTGTCATCATATTGAAACATTATTGTTTTGGTTTTCTTTAAGTCTCAGATATCTTTAACTTCTTAGGGTGTCCCTAAGGATTGGAAAAAAAACAAATTTAGATTAATATTTTCATTATAATAATATTACACAAAGCAGAAGCAGTAAGTATTATTTATTAGGTTTGTTGTGTTCTTGTTCATTTAGCCTTTAATGGTGGTAGAAATAAGCCAACGATACTTTGGGTCATGGATCTTTGCAGTCAATATGAAAATGGTCAGAAGCTGAGAAGTTTGGGGATCATGGCCAACCACACTAATCTCCATTACTGTGTGGCTCCTCTTTAGACTCCCCAAATATCCATTATTTATGTTATTATATGGAGAAAAAAGTATATATAATCTTGTTAGGGTTAGCTGATTGCAGGAGTCATTTTACAGATTCATAATCAAGCCTGAACAGATAGTTATTTTTATGCCTGCTTGTATTTAAATCCATATACATCTATTATTTATTTATATCCACTTATGCTGAGAGGTCAAGCGGTTTGGTAGGATCCAATATAAGCCTGTAATGTATTTCATCCTTAACTCTTTCATGTACACTAAGAAAAAGGCAAGGTGTTACAACTTCTATCCACAAATACAGCCACCACAGGTGGAGTTTGGTTTTGTTCAGTGACGCATCTCCAATAATCCATACTGAGACTTGCCTTCCATCCATCCATCCATTTTCAGCCGAGTCGGGTTGCGGGGGCAGCAGCCTAAGCCAAGACGCCCAGACTTCCCTCTTCCCAGCCACTTGAGCCAGCTCTTCCGGGGAAATCTCAAGGTGTTCCCTGGCCAGCCAAGAAACATAGTCCCTCCAACGTGTCCCGGGTCTTCCCTTGGGTCTCCTCCCAGTTGGACGTGCCTGGAAAACCTCACAACGGAGGCATCCAGGAGGCATCCTGACCAGATGCCCGAGCCACCTCAACTGGCTCCTCTTGACGTGCAGGAGCAGAGGGTCTACTCCAAGCCCCTCTCGCATGACCGAGCTTCTCACCCTATATCTAAGGGAGAGCCTAGCCACCCTGCAGAGAAAAAATCATTTCGGCCGCTTGTATCCATGATCTCATTCTTTCGGGCACTACCCAAAGCTCGTGACCATAGTTGAGGCTAGAAACGTAAATCGACTGGTAAATCAAGAGCTTTGCCTTCCGGCTTGCCTTTTTTAAATCTTTTATTTAATGTTTTCTCCAATCAAAACGAGCATTTAAACAGAAAAAAACATTTGGGGGAAAATTAAGGTCTGCAGAAAAGTTTGCTCTAATACCCTGCACCAACATCAGTTCGGTGAGCCTGAGTAAAGTAAATGATCTTCTACTTTTCCCCATTGCAATTACCTGAGTTGTGAAAACCTGAACACCTGTGTCACCTTACATACTTATTTACATAACAAACATCTTGCCATTTTTCAAATTTATTTAAGCCATTTAGGGTTTTATTATAAAGGCAATAATAATAATAACAATAATAAATGTATTATTTATAATAATACATTTGTAATTTTATGTAAATTTTCTGGATAATTAACAAAAATATGCTTGAACAATAATTTGCTTGTAATTGGGAAAAGTTAAGTAAAGAATACCTATAGCAATATTCTGAGGCAGACTTTACAAAAACATGGAAAACAGAAGAAAGGAAAAGGCAGGATTCGTTTCAGATGAATTTTCATTTTTCATGCGGACGATAAAAAGTCGACGGTCCCTGACATCAAGCGCTTTAAATCCGCCTTTTGTTCTCTCCGTGGAGCTGGCCGTGGTTCTGAAACGTATCTCCTCAACTCATGTCATGCCGTCAGGCATGAAATAAACCCTTCCAGAGTCAAGCTACAATAGAAAACCGTCGTTTGTAATAATTGTAGTTGCTCCTTCACAGGCTGAGCAGACACACGCCCTCTCTGAAATCTGTGCAGCATGTAAACAATGAACCCACATGACAGCGCGAGCTGCACACACCCGACATGCGCACACGCTGCCACTTCAAAGGAGTCACGATCTGGATCCGCTCGGCTTCAGCATGATGGAGATTATATGGAAACGAACCTCTGGGCACAAATATCTCCGTGGGATCAACATTAGATCCTTTATTTCCATCGTCGGACTTTCTATTTGATTTGTCTCCGAGGTTAAATCTACCATCTGTCACTAAAGCCCATCTGAGCCGGTTGTTGGGGAAAAAAACTCCATTATTTTTATTTTTGTGCTGCTCGAGAACAAGTAGATCATATCGGTGCGTAAGAAACGTGATTCGTGCCATTTTCTCGATGGGTGGCAGTTTGTAACCAACAACGACATCTGGTGACAAACTACAAATACATTTGATGACGCCAGAAAGGCTGTTAATATTCATATCCTGCATATATGGCTGGAAAACAGATGCTGCCTGTGGGTTTTATAAGTGATGTGTTAATTCAGAGCTGAAATAAAAAAGAAAATCTCTGCAAATGCAAATATAAAATATGCAGTAATGGTAAAGGATTTAATAAAAGTAGAACGTGGATTAAATCTCCCTTTTTTACTACAGTTGGATGTATAATGGTCGAATATTCATACATAAACATACAGTATTCTTTTTATTTTATTAGCAAATTTAGGTCTTATTTTACTTAGCATCACTCAAAATTCAATACGTATAAACAATGTGATTACATTTGGATTAGGTCACATTATAATAGCTTACAGCTCACAATCTTGTAAGAAACTCTTCTACTTATGCAACATATACAACGTTTCTTGTAAAACTATCATCTAATAGTTGCAACACCATTTAATAGATTAAGTCTTGCTTTTTTAAAATCACAGAACGAGGGTGGAATTTGATAATGTAGGCTTTAAACTTGTCTAAATTAAAAAGGAATATCAAAATAATTACACATTTTGAGGGTAAATGTGTAAGATCCACCAGAAATGACCTAAATCTACCATAAATTCTATTTCCTGACATTTCTTCCACATGTGACTCAACTTGGGCCATAAGTCAAATTTAGCACAGTTGTTAGCCTTTGAGCTACATTTGGCCCACATAACAGTGACCAGGGTCGTATCTTCACTATAGGCGGCAAAGATTGTGTCCACATGTATCTGCTCTCTGGGTTGAGAAAGGAAAAGGCTCTCTGGCTTGGAAACCTCTGAAAAAGATTGTTGTGTTTTTGTTACCTGAGGTCTGAAGCACTCAAAATCCCATTTGGTTTTTGGAAGCTTATATTTTTCTGTCTGGGGTCACAATGAGTTCACAAACTCTTGTTTTCACTCAGTAGGCTGTTTAGATTAGCAGTGGATTGGTACTAGACCCAGCTTAAAACACAAACACAGTAGCAGCCTCTTCATTTTATCCCCGTCCAACATCAGTTTTAGATCATATTACAATCACTGCACTGGGAAAGCAAACCCATGATGTATTTTTCTACTAAAACAGTGATTCACATATTTGAAAGCGTTTTCTGACAAGATAATTAAAAATAATTATTTTAACTTTTATACATAGTCCCCTGAACAACCTCAGTTTGAAGAAACAGCTATAGAAACAAACAGTGATCAAATAGATAAGCTAGATCACGTGTCAGACACAAGGCCTGTGGAGCATTTTTATGTGGCCCGCGAGATAAATATCAAAAATATATTAAAAGTGACCCGCTGACCGATTTTACAACAAAGACTGCGACTCCCATGATGCTTTGCGGCGTTAGTGCGGAGCCGAAGCACCCCCTCTGTGTTTTTTTCCAGCGTCTGCTAACGGTGCCTGCGGCTCCGCTGTATCGGACTAACTAAACACTACTCTCACTCAGCGCCGAGTTTACTCGGCTATTTGCCGAAGTTGAAGCCCAGAAACAGACATTTTAACCGCTCAGTAATGTGTTCATGACTGAAAGAGAAAGTTTTCCAACTAACTTCCAGACAGAGCTGATATAACTCCAGCGAGCAGCGACACGCTCAAGTCAGCATGACTCTGTGGCTGCTGTAGTTTTTATTTTTCCTCCCTGACACACAACGACGTGGCCAAGCTGCTCAGACATGTTCATCAGCACAAACCTATGTGAGCACCTGTTGTCATCTAATGTTGTCATTATTAAGATGAAGATGAACAAAACAACAGGAGTCTCCTCCTCAGCTCAGATCAGTCCCATGATGCAGGTATCTGGCTGGAACAGGTGAGCATCACAGTAAACCAGTGGAGCAAACTGAGCTATAAATGTTTTGGTTTTCTGCTCTTTTTCTGCTGCAAAACATGAACGTTAACAGGTGAGATGTTGCATTTTCATTTAAGATAAAATTATATTTTTATATTGTTGTTGGCCCGTGAGCAAAGATTTAACCTACAGTAAACAGGAAGTGGAAAGGCTGCAGATAGATGAATAGAGAATCCCTTTATTGTTCCTCAGTGGGGAAAGCTAGACGTCACAGCAGCGATGACACTTATTACAGGAGAAAAAAAGGAGAATAAAAAATAAGAAAAATGAATAAACAAGAAAACATAAATCCTGAATAGATTTTAAAAATGCTGAATATACCACAAGTAACGAATACCACCGATGAGTTTTATTTAAAGAGCAAGCCACCCCCAAATCACTTTTTTTTTGCTGATAAACTATATAAAGGAGTGCCTAATCATGCTACAGACACGTGTAGTCAATAATTTGGTACTTCAGTGCATCTTGGTTAAAATTCAAATATTCTGCCTAAAACTGTCAGTGTTGCGCCGTCGTCAGGGAAAAATGCTGCACTGTATTTGAATTTAAATCTGCCACTGCTATTGGCTAAGAGGTATGCTGTGATGTCATCTGGTATATTATGATGTCATAATGCCATTGCGAGCCTGTGTGTGTGTATTTATTAGCGGCTCCGCCCTCTCGGTCTGCCAAGCAACAGCATTTGTTGCATTTTTCAAACAAGAAGTGGGAGTGAAGTAAGTTTCTTGTAGGGGTGACTTGCTCTTTAACATTGACTTGCTCGTGTGTAACTTGGTTATTCCACATTCAGTGTTAATGCAAAAATAAGTTTGTTTCCAAATTAAAAGGATAAAAATTGCATGTATGTTGATAAAGAAAATGTGCAAATGTGCCATCACTTTTTCAAAAAATATTAAGTTTGGCCCGCGACTTCGTCCCAGATTCTCATTTCAGCCCCGTGTGAGTTTGAGTTTGACACCCCTGGGCTAGATGTTAGTTAGCATGTAAATAATCTCAAAATTGTCACTTCAGATTATTAACATGCTATTTTATAACCCTCAAAGTCTAGGATTAATTATAAAGTTCAAGCCAGAAGTGTTACTTTAGCTTTGCAGCTAAACTGATCTGCAAGTATTCAACGAATTCTATAACCATATAATGTTGGTGCAAAGTTTATAAAATAAAATTGTATTCATTAAAGGGACTTTAGGGAGTTTTGATATTTTATGCTCGCGACTGCCCCCCTCAGGCCAAAAGCGTAACGGCAGCTTCAATAGTAGGCTTGTGCACAAGGTGTGTTGTACGTGCACACTCCTTAACGAAAATAACAGCTGAGACAGTCCCGTGTGTGTGTGGGGGGGGGGGGGGGGGGGGAGGACAGAGGACAGGAGAATGTGCAGCTAATTAATTAAATAATTTGGTTATGTACCTTTCTCTTCAGCACAGCCGACAAAGGTTTAAGATGGGTCAGTCCTCCTGCATGCTCAGATCATTCCCTTCCCTTGCTTGAAAAATTGTTCCAAAAGGAAAGTTGAACCTACATCTTTTTTATCTGTGAATTCAATGCCGTTCAGCAAGTCTCAAATAAAAATTTGGACATCTTACTGTAAAAAAAATACCATTAATGTAACAAATACACTCTGTTCACATCCAGAATTCCACACGAGAGTCCAACGTTTTACTAGGTGAGCTATAACACCAGTATCTGTATCTGTAATATTTATATCCTTGATGACAGCTGAAACAATGTTCAAAGAAAGGTTCGGAGCAAAAATGGCTATTTTGTTGCTAATTTGCAGGAAATATCTAGAAGAAAGTAGCTAAGGGTCCTCAGAAATGTAGCTAGGTTCATCACTAGGCGTTAGGAACAGAGACAAAGTCGCTGAGTTGGCACTACCTCTCTCTCTCTGCTGCTAAAGCTACGGATAGCAAGTGCTATGGACTATGCCTGAGCGTGAACGCGCATGCAGCAGCCTGCTCGACCAGAGCATCTCTCTTTTTCTGTGATTTTACAGAAAAACGGGCAATCACAGTAAAAATGCCAGGGCTCATTCTACAGGACCAGGGCATTGCATGAGAATGTATGAAGAAGAAATTTATTATTTCTACACATGTTTTGGCTGTCAAACTTCCATAGTGCCCCTTTAAAAGTTTACAAACAATTATTACCTTAACTGTTAAGAGTTAATGCTTTGAACATCTTCTATTCAGAAAACATGAGTTCTGATTGGATAAGCTAACAGCTAGCTACTGCAGGGCCAGCTCAAAAATTAAAACTACTATCCTTTTTAAAATCTCAAAACAGTTAAAGCAGTTAATGAACACAAAGTTGCTGTTGATAAATCAACATCACATGGTCATTTACAAAGGATTTTATTACTTGTACTAGAAATTAGTGGAGAACTAGATATGTATAGCTTCCGGTTTGATGCGTTACACTTCCTGTCATAAATCTATACTTTTCTGACGAAATAATTGTCTAAAGTGAACCAACAAGAGTGACGTTTTTTTTAGTGAAGTTTTACAGAATTAAGTTCACACAAGACCCTATTATTTCTTTGCATTCAGAACAATAATAGAAATGTACTGTGGAAATTAGCTATTAGCCTTTAGCTCATGTATCCAACTTGGAAAAACGTCAGACACGCTGCTAGTTGTAAATAAATCACAACAGAATCGTGTTTTTTCTGATTTGTAGTAAAACTTTATTTCACAAACAACTTACTGCCTTCCCTCCTAAACTAACACCTACAGGGAAACGGAGACACACACGATCCAACATTTTATCCCCCTCCATGTGTGTATCGATTGTTTTGACTCCCCGCCGGTGACACTTCCTGTGGTGTGTGAAGTATTAAAAACTCGGAGCTTACTCAGCTGCCACGGTGCACGGCATTCATAACAGACCGTGAAGAACCATCACCGAGAGCGGGGCAGGATTCAAAGAGCCTCCCTCCTTTCCTTCTCCACCTCCATCATCATCAGACCAACATGTGGGAGAGCTCTTCTATCACATCAGACACATCAAAGTGGCTCTGGATCCCTGAGGATGAGAGCAGGAGGGGGGGATGGAGGGCTGGGAACAAGAGGCAGCGGAGTTAAAATTCAAGGAAAGCAGATTTGTGCAAATGTAACCTGCCATAAGTAGAGGTTGTGCGACCAATCATCCTGATTATATAAATGAGCGCTGAGGAGGCAAAAGGAATTTTGAAACAGGTGAATGTCTTTAATTATTAGTCAGCTGCTTTATAATCTTTAATAAGTGATCCTTAGAATAATGGCTGCCTCACCTCATCTCACACATTTGTACCAATTAAACACCTGCTCAACGAGAATCATTCTTACAACTTCAAAACATGATTTCAAGTGAATACTGTGTGTCTGTGACTATTAAACAAATCACATCTATGCTTCTAATGTAAGTTTCCTTTTTCCAGAGCTTTTTAAAGGGACGGTTAATATGAAAATGCATCATAGCTGGTTTGGTTATTTGGTTTCATTATTGCTAAACCAATGAAATGTATAGCTTTTAATGTTTTAAGTTGTGGACCAAGTTTGAAATGTAGCTCTTACCCTAACCTGACAACTCAAGCAGTATTCAGAAGTCATTAAGGACTCTTCTACTGCTCACGTTTTCTAACGGATATGCATCGATTTTGCTTTTGAGGGCCGATAAGTAGCCTGTATTTGTATAGCGCTGTCTCAGGGTTCTACAAACAAGGTGCCTTACAACACAGTCATCCACCCATCACACGCTGGTGATGATGAGCTGCAATGTAGCTGCAGCTGATGAAAGCAAGACTGCCGAACACTGGCACCACCAGTCCTTCTAACCACCAGTAGACAAGGCGGGTCTTGCCCAAGGACTCAACAGCAGCATTCACTGGTCGGAGTTGGGATCGAACCTGCAACCTATTACTGAACAACCCACTCTACCTCCTGATCTACTGCTGCCCGATACCGAATTCCAACCTAATACCAATTTTAATTGATCTGAAAGCACTTCTGTATAAATCTTATTTTTCCAGATATGAAAATGAGATCTCTTATTGCTAAATATTAACGCCTACCAATGGGGAGCTCATACATCGCAGAAAAATGATGAAATTGTAAAAAACAAACCGGGGAAATTAAATCTTTTTGTTTCAAATCTGCCGATCAGACAATCTTGGCCAATTCTGATGAACGCTATATATTTTCTTTGCCTATTTATCTTAAAAATACTTTAGATGGCACTACTAAACTTTAAACTGTTTGAATAATTACTTAAACACTTAACTGAGTCCAAAGTTTAAAATATTATCTGCTGGGATAAACACATCACTAACAATACTGATCTTTTTGTTAAGGTACTATTGTGCTAGTAGACGCAAACCTATGGGGGTCATTTGTTGATTTCTAGTTGGTAATTTTATCGATAAATCGAAAATTTAACACAAGTCAGATGATTACCCTCTGTGTTAATATTAAATATGTAAAGTTTCAAAACATAATGTAAAAAGAAAACTGGAGTTAAATCAAAACTTTGCACAAAAAAAGTGAACAGAATACTAGAAACATGAGTAATCTACATAGGATTATAAAAAATACACTTTAATCTGCAAATTTATCTTTAAAATGAATAAAATTCTTAAATAATCTGGTTGCGACACAATTTACGGTACACCCTTTCCTTTGGAATAAACTATTTTTAAGGAAGCTGGAAATAAACACGAACCTTGGATTATACTTTCTTACGAATGCATAGAATTCTGAATTTTAATTACCTTTAACACATAGATGCGTGGTTGTTTTATGCGATAAATGTCGAGTTGAAGCACAAAAATATGTCAAACATAAATGAGAATTAAACATTTGGGGTGACATTTTATTGGGAACTAAAAGAAGAGGAAAAAGGAACACCAGACATTTCAAACTCAGACTTTTATTATCAGTACAAGGAAATAAAACTGAAGACGAACATCTTCATCTCCTTCTGCGATGAAGCCGAGAGCTGGAACTAAAACTCAAACCTTTTCCAAAGCTCGCGACGTTCTTCTTTCAGAAGCTTTAAGGAGACGTGAAACTACCACCGAACACGGACTTAATGAGAGAGAATCGCATCACAAACACGACATCCCGCGTTTGAACAAAGAAAACAAATCATTTACCTAGATTGTAGAAGGAACAATTATTCTAGAACATTACACTCAGATGCTCGTCCTCAAACTGGAATTTGATTTAATTCCTTTAGATATTTTTTTGTTTGTTTATTTTTTACCAAAAACTACTACTTTTTGAGAAGCAGTCAAAACTGCTCGCCATGGGACGAACTCACAGAAGGAACACTAAAGCATCTACATTCGTTTTACTTTCGTGGCCAAAATAACGACGACCCGTCTGCAAGTGTCTGATGCACACTCGCTCTGACCTCTAATAAACTGATGCTCTGTTACATATTTAATATTAAATGCTTCACACTGGAGCAAAATAACACATAAAGTGAATTATGTATAGATATCCACCTTTTATTTTCTTTAATCTTCGGTCTTCACTCTTCAGCTCGGCGTTTTTCCTGACGTGAAGCCGTCTACCCTCTGAACCTCCTTTATTCTTCTCAATTATTCCTTTCCTTCTGGGAGTCCTCCGATGGCCGCTGGAACAGTTTAGCCGGCTACTTTCACCCTTTCAGAGGCTTTGTGGGGCAGAATGTGGTCTCGTTCTTAATTCTGTCAGAACCTCGGCGGTAAAAACGGTCTTTTCGGCAGAAACATCGGACCTCCCCCTCTTGGACCCGCGCGCTTTCCTCTTAGCCTCGGTTCAGGGCCGCGGAACCGAGGGAATGGCTGGCGAGGTGGTCCTCTGGGGTGTGGGTTCAGTCCTGGGCGGGGAGGCCGATGTGGGGGCCGCAGACCAGGACGGTGGATTTCATGATGAGGCGGCGGCGGTCGCCGAGGTGCGTAGTGCGGGTGAGGAGGGGGGCTGCGCTGCTGATAGTCGTGAGAAAAGTAAGGATCCCCTGAGGGTGAAAGCGGGGGGGTGAGCTGCCCTCGGACTCTCTGGTGAGGGTGTGGCGGACTTCCTGGCCTGAAAAATGCATCGTCAGGAGGATAGTAAGGGTCGTTGTGAAAGAAATGAGGATCGTGCTGCCTGTTGTCACCATGGTAACGCTCAAGGTCCTCCTGGTATTGCAGGTCATTATCTGGGTGGGGGTATGGGTCTTCGAGGTGCAGCGGGCGATTTGAGTCGTAGAACGGGTCATCTGGATGAGAGGACTTGTGCTGATGGTCATGAACGACCATCCCACTAATGATGCTGTCCATTCTGTTCCCAACTACCCCTCCCATACCTGGACTGGGAACGGATTCCTGCTCTGGGGGACGCATCACCCCACTGGTTAATGAAGACAGGACATCAAAGGGAGGGGGAGGGGGTAACTTTGGGACAGGAGGGAGGGTGTTTTTAAAGAAAGAAGGGGATGCAGTGAAGCCCTGCTGAGGCTCCCGACCTTGCTCTGCTGGGTACGGATAAAGTCCGGATGTTTTGTTTTCTCCACCCCCTCCAGGCACCAACACACCGTAGCCACCAGGTGGCTGGGAGCCCCCCACTGGGTAACCATCACCAAAACGACTCAGTTCATTCACTCCTCTAAAGCCTTCAGCTGTCGGTGTGCCGCTTGCGCCGCCTGGAGCTCTGTGTCCAGTCGTGTTCCCGCCCACCTGCACAGAGAGCTGCTGATAAAGTGCAACAGGTGCAGCCATCCCTCCATCTAACACTTCCTGTTTGCTGTATGGGAATGCCTGGAAGCGCTGGCCGTTCTGAGCCACACCCGGCAGTGGGGGAGCTGGATGAAAGGGATTGTTGGGGTTCTCAAACATAACGGACGCTTTCTGGATGGCTTCACCAGCAGCTGACTGGTTCAGACCTGAGGTGATCGGGACCGCCACCGGCTTGTCCATGATCTCATCTTGAGTCGGAGTGCCTCCTCCTTCATCCCTAACCGGAGTCCCAACTTGGTTCTCTGTCCCAGTTACTGGGCTGATGTTAGCTGCACCTTGAACTGGAATTGCTGAAAATTTCAGGTCAAAAGCGCTGAAAGCAGGGTTTCCCTGCAGGAAGTTATGGATTTTAGACTCTAAACTGGAGGAAGAAGAAGACGGCTCCTGCTCTGTAGTCAGATCCATGTCTCTGTGAAGAGCCTGGACCAGGGCGGAGGCTTTATTCAAGGTTTCTGGAGTTGCTGGAGCGCTGGAGATCTGCTGCACAGCAGGTTTGGTTGAAGGAGGCACAAACGCTCTGAAGGAGGGAGACGTGGGCTGAGAGGGAACTACTGAGGAGGATGTGGATGAGGATGAGGGCATACTCTTGTCTGCAGGGGGTGAGTCTGAGTCAACATTTGGTGACAGGAGAGAAGTGATTCCTGAAGGAAGAAATAAGCAAAAAACAGGTGATTTAGCGCAAGTAAGTGTGGTTTTAAAAAGGAAATGTCCTTAATCTCACCCTTCAGACTGCTTTGGCTCTGAACTTTAGACAGAGCACTGAGGAGGTCTGCAGGACTCACATCCACCTTGGAGAGCAGGCTGACCAAAGAAGTGGCATCCTGTGGGATGACCGGAGCCACGGGTTTGGGCTTCACCGACGACATAACAGGAGCAGCTGCAGGAAACTCCACCAACCCTGGAAAACAGATCCGGACTGTGACTTATCCTGGGAATCACCCGGAAACTTCTCAGATTCAACTAGAGACATGTGTTTAATCAGCTTTAGCCTGGCTTATAACAGCTTCCAGCACCCACCTGTGCTATTCAGGCCTGGAGTAATACTGCTGAGTATGGAGCTGATTTTACTCATGTCCACACTTTCAATGGCGGCTGCAGGAATGGCTGCAGGAACGGCTGCAGGAGCGGCTGCAGGAACGGTTGCAGGAGCGACTGCAGGAACGGCTGCAGGGATGGCTGCAGGAGCGGCTGCAGACGGTGTGGCCTGGAGCACAGCTGACTCCGTTACCGATGCCTTACTTTTGGCAGGAATTGGACCAGACACCTCTGGTAGGCATACGGATTCAATTTGCTCCTCAACTGAAATAGAAAAAAAGCTGTGAGGCAGAATCGTTAACCAGATACAGCAAGAAGACCGAAGTAAAAGCACAAGGAAAACAGTCACCCCAGCAACTACACCCAAGCACAGCGTACCTATAATACCACCATTGCCCGTCTCCTCCTCAGAGAGCTCCATGTCCTCCACTTCGCAATTGTCAATCTCTCCAAGAGTGTCCGCATACTGGGGGGATCCTCCCGGTGATGACAGGGGGCTTGGTGCAGGGGGTTCTGCATCGTCATCCATAGCCGAACCGTCGAGCTCGGGGTCAGGATGGGCCAATTCCATGCCATGAAAAGGGGACTCTGATCCCGTGGGAGAGGGCGCATCGGCAGAAGGTGATGGGATGGGCGACTCGTCCAGGTCTGGTAAGGTGGCTTTCAGAGCGTCCAGCTTACGTTTGAGGTGGGACACTCGGTTTGCAAACGTTTGGTAAGCCTGAAGACAACACAGTCAAGTAACTGTTAGCATTGCACTTGTTTTTATGAAAGGGTTATGGTTACAATATAAAACTTCAGAATGTTTTTCTAGAACCACTGGAAGGACATGAATGAAACTTTCAGCAAGAAATCATTGGACCAACATCTACAACTGATCGACCCCATCCAAGATGGCCGCCACATGTACACCAACTTAGCAAACACAAATGTGTCTATATGTCAAGTTCATGTTAGTAGCCGAGCGTGACCTCTACAGATATGACTAAAATGAATATGACTCTCATTTGCCATTACCAGATAACAGATAAAAGAAACAATACAGAGTTTAACACTTTAATTTTTTGCTTTCAAATTGGTTTTAGTGATTATTGTGCCATAAACTTTAGCAACTTCACACTGGACATCACTCTGCTGACCAGAAACTGCACTAAACAGTTTTGTGGTTTGGGTAGGAACAATAGTGGGAGGTTTCTACCTGCGTTTTGGCAATAGCTATTTACTGTAGCTAATATAAAGGCTAGCAGTTAGCTTTTTCAGTTCACTGACTGTCAATAAAAAGAATGAGAAAAAGGAATCTGCTTTTATTGTTGGCATCAAGGTGGAGCCTGGAAGTAAAAGTAAGAGAGTGATGTCTTTGGAGGTGAAGCAAAGAGCTAAAACAAGAGAGAAAATTGGCGCAGCCTACACTAACTTAAGGGAGCTAAACAATGTTGCCTAATAGGGCTGGGCGATATGGACCAAAACGTATATCTCAACATCTTTTTGCTGAATTCCGATATCCTCCTGTAAAATATTTGCAAGTTAACTCACTTCAAGCTGTCTCGAGAAATTATATACATAAATCAGTAGATTAAATGGATGAAAATGTATTGATTCTGGTCAAACTTTAACCTTAGTGCCTACTCTCTAAAAGTCTGCGCTTTAGAAACACTGTTACAGCTGTCTGTTAACACACACACACACACACACACACACACACACACACACACACACACACACACACACACAAACAATCTAATCACTAGCATTGCGGCTAATCACTAGCATAGCAGTTTGTATCTTGTTCAAAAATTATATCAATATTTTCTAAATATTGATATATCGCCCAGCCCTACTATCTCATCACGAACTGATGGTGACCTGGCTTTGTTGCTACTGAACTAATAAGTAATAAAAAATGTGTCCAACAGCGTGGATCTTTGCACTTCGTAACTTATTCAATATCAGTTGGCTTGTGGTAACAAAAGCTTGTTGTCAGGGATAGCTACAACAGGCTGCAACAGGGTTGTTTACAACAGTTGCGGAAAACTTAATTGTTGCTTTAACTAGGCCTTGTTCTCAGCAGTGATCAGTTCAATTCCTGTGAGAACGTCAGCTCATAAATATTCTATCTTAACCTGCTTAAAAAACTGAAATACAAGTCAAGGTTATTCTGAAAGTGATTTAAAGGGACTTTACGGAGTTTTGAATTTTTATGCTGCGATTGCCCCCTCAGGCCAAACGTGTAACGGCAGCTTCAATAGTAGGCTCGTGCACGAGGCGCGCATGCTGTGCGTGCACACTCCTTAACAAAAATACAGCTGAGACAGTCCCGTGTGTGTGTGTGTGTGTGTAGCCCGGAGGACAGAGGACAGGAGAACGCGCAGCTAATTAATTAAATAATTTGGTTCTGTACCTTTCTCTTCAGCACAGCCGACAAACGTTTAAGATGGGTCAGTCCTCCTGCATGTTCAGATCATTCCCTTCCATTGCTTGAAAAATTGTTCCAAAATCAAAGTTGAACCCACGTCTTTTTTATCTGTGAATTCAATGCCGTTCGGCGAGTCTCAAATAAAAATTTGGGCATCTTACTGTAAAAAAAATATACCATTAATGTAAAAAGTAAACTCAACATAATTTACATTCGGATCAAGAATCGAACCCGGATCTTCTGCACGAGAGACCGACACCTAACTATGTGAGCTAAAACGCCAGTAACATATTTCGTAACTGTAAATTTTATATCCTAGATCGGTTCGGAGCGAAAATGGATATTTTGTTGCTAATTTGCAGGAAATATCTAGAAGAAAGTAGCTAAGGGTCCTCAGAAATGTAGCTAGGTTCATCACTAGGCGTTAGGAACAGCGACAAAGTCGCTGAGTTGGCACTACCTCTCTCTTTGCTGCTAAAGCTACGGATAGCAAGTGCTATGGGCGATGCCTGAGCGTGAACGCGCATGAAGCAGCCTGCTCGACCCGAGCATCTCTCTTTTTCTGTGATTTTACAGAAAAACAGGCAATCACAGTAAAAATGCAAGGGCTCATTCTGCAGAACCAGGGCATTGCAGGAGAATGTATGAAGAAGAAATTTAATATTTCTATACATGTTTTGGCTGTCAAACTTCCATAATGCCCCCTTAAAGAAGAAGCAAAACAAATGACATATAAAATCCTTAAATACGTACATTTGCAACAATCTTGACCTCTTTGTACTGCAGTTCATAGAAGATGTCTGCGTTGCTGAGTGCTTCTAGAAGCGGAGGACCGATTTTGTTTTGTTTGTCAAAGAACTTCACAAACTCCTGCATCTGTGCACTTCCCTCCTCAAAGTCCTTGGAGAACTTCTTTCCTCCTGCTTTATCTGTTAAAAAGTCATGGATGTGAGCATAATCTGAAAAAACTGCAAGAATCTGTAAGAGGCAAAACAAAGGGAATAGAGGTAGTAAAGGTGTTGTGTTAGACAGAATGACCTAGTCTACCTTTGAGTTTCTTGAGAGCTTCAGAACTGAAGATGTCAACCCTCATAGCAGCCAGCTGTTTTTCTCTGAGATCAACCTCCTCCAGAGATCTCTTGTACTTGGACAGCTGGTCTATGAATGCCTGCGGCTAAAGCAGAAGGAGGGTTCAGTCAACAAACGTTTGAGTTAAAGACACAGTAAAGACGCTCGAACTTATTACACGTCAGACTGGCTCTTTTTAAATTCTTACCACAAACTCAGCAACAATCTTGGACTGCAGATCTGCTTTGGACTCAACTGGAGCTTCAGAAAATACGAGAAGAACATCACACCAAGTATTCAGTATTTAGTTTTTTTTTTTGCACAAAACCGCAGAATTTTAGCACAAATTTAATTTTCTTAATTATTCCCTGAGCAGGACTCACTGTTCTGCTCCACAGGCGTCTCAGGGGGGGACTCCTCTTTAACCAAGGTGTTCCTAAGATCTGTAATCAGTGTTCCTGAATACACATCCCTCTCTTCCCAAATGGACAGAATTCTCTCCACAGATCGGATCACCTTGGGGTCACCCTCTTGACTGGGAAGAAAGTGAAGGACATTAGAAATGCATAAACTTCTTTTATTTATTTATTTATGCATGATGCCTATGAATAGAACAAATCTCATAGCAGTGGAGGAGGCAAAAACATCTCTAACATTTTGGTTGAAAACAGCTAAATAAACCCCTACTAGTTACTCACTTAACCAGCAAGAAGGCGTCTGGCAACACTTCGGCAAACGCGGTGCGATAAACAATGGCGTTTTTCCGTTTGCAGTTCTGAATGACATCATTGGCGAGGTACAGCAGGTTGAGCCTGTGGGGGGCGTTAGCTGTAGAGGACGGGAAAAGGGGACATGTTTGAATGAGGAGACATATGGAGTCCAAACATCCGGGGACAAGGTTTGTCCTGCAAGACAACTCTGAATACAACTCTGGACGTCAATTAATTAAATCTTATGTAGTTTGTTCTTTTAAACTTATGTTAATTATAATATTATGGGATGGCATCATTTACATCACCTCAAAGTGATGGCCTTTTTACAACAAACAAAGAAAACATACATAATTAAAAAATAAACACAAACAGAAAAAATACATATCCTCATCCTTTTTTCTTCTTCTCTGTCTGAAAAGGAGTAGGCTGAAGTCGAAACTTATATGTCCCTACCCCTGTATACAAGTAATTTTTACTTGTTTACTAACAAACAAAATGGTACAAGTCACCAAAAACCACCAAACCATGTGGAAGAAAAAACATCTTTTTACAATTGATGCTCATATTTACTTTTCCTTAGAATAAAGGACACCCACATAAATCATCTATTTTCCACTATATACTTGTTCAGAATATGTTTTTTATAATTCATTTTAAACACATTTATATTTGTACTTACTTTGATTTCTTCTTCTAAATTGTTCCATAATTTAACCCCATTATTGTGATACACATCTGTTTTAATGTTGTTCTAAACTTATGTATCTTTAAGTTTAGTGTCCCTCTCAGGTTATATCCTCCTCTCTCTGTGAACAGTTTCTGTATTTTATCAGGCATTAATTTATTTCTTACTTTATACATTATTTGTGCTGTTTTGTATTTAACCAAGTCCTGGAACTTCATTGTCCGCGTTTTAATTAAAAAGTTCATTTGTGTGATCCAAATATCCTGCATTTATTAATCTGATAGCCCTTTTCTGCATTGTCGTTATTGTTTGTAAATTACTTTTGTACGTGTTTCCCCAGACCTCTACACAATAGCTCAAATATGGCAGTAGCATCCTATTGTATAATATATAAAGTGCTTCCTGATTAAAAATATACTTAGCTTTCCCCAATATAGCAATGCCCCGTGCAAGCTTCCCCCTAACATATTTGATGTGTGGCTTCCAAAAGATTCTGCTGTCTTTGACCACCCCAAGAAATTTTATTTCATATACTCTCTCAATTTTTACATTATTAATTACTATATCTAATTCATTTTATCTGCTTTCATTACCAAACAACATAAATTTTGTTTTCTCTAAATTTAGTGACAGTTTATTTACATCAAACCATTTTTTAAAATTTATTTATTTCCTGTGTGACCACACCCAGGACCTGTTGCAATTCCACACCTGAGCAAAAAACATTTGTGTCATCTGCAAACAATACAAACTTCAATACTTGTGAAGCCCTACAAATGTCATTTATGTACATTATGAATAGTTTAGGTCCTAAGACTGATCCTTGAGGTACCCCACATTGTATCTCTTAGTCCTGATTTATGTTGATTTATTTGCACATATTGTTGTCTATTTGATAAATAACTTTTTATTACAGCTACATTGGTACTGATAACTTTTGAGATTTAATCTTGCTTTGTAGCTAATCTTATTTGTTTTAAAGGGATATTGTTGCCATATTTTTTAACATCTTTGTTCGCGGTTGCTCTGAGGAAGGCGGCAGTGACCATCAAAACATATCAGCAAAGGTAACAACAAACCCTTATCACTCTGTGTACAACAAAGAACTAAAGAAAATTAAATTGTTGCCATATTCCCCAGAGTTAGATACGTAGGTAAAACTATTTGTAACCAGCACAGTCATTCTCCTGATTATCTTTAGTTTCAGCTTAGCAATAAACAATGTAAGTTAATGGTAACAACTAGCCTTGTGTGTGAAAAGCTTAGTGATTTTGATTCTGCTTGCTGACCTCAATAATCATACTAACTGCAAGTGAAAATAATAGGTAACACAATGGAAATAAAAGGGGCCATTTTAGGCTTGAGACTACTTAATGACAAAGCACAGCTGTAAGCTTCTACTGAATGTTACCTACCAAAGCCATCTACTTTCATAAACACAAATTCAAATTCATCAAAACATTTCTATTTTTTCCTCTCCTGACAGTTTAGGGAAAAAAACTGATTCATAAGAAAAGAAAAAAAAAACACAATGCACTTATCATTAATATTACATAATTTCAATTTAGGGATGTCCCGATACAACTTTTTCACTTCTGATACGATACAGATGTTGCACCCTTCAGTACTGACTGATACAGATATCGATCTGACATGATATCAGCACAAATCATGCATACTTTTACCTATTTTGTGGTGTGTAGAATGTATGAAAGGCTCAAACAAATGATATTACTCAATTGGAGAACAAAAGCCAACAACAGTAAGTATGAAAAAAATGACAATTTTTTTAACCATTGGTTGCAAAAATGTGAACCTTAGCAGACCACTTATATCAGCAGTTTTTGGAAGTTATTTACCATTAAAATTAGTGATGTGCCGACATGAAATTTTTGGGCCGATATTAAGATCACTGTTATGGCTGACAACCAATATTTGCCAATACCGATATACTGACATTTAATGCTTCTAAAATCAGCAGTTTTTGTATAGAATGAAAAATTATTAAAGCTGAATTTACGTTATGTCCACACAACACACACATTTACGGTTCTGAGATTATTTCATTCACTGTTCACTGACTAAACAATTACACATCACCCCCTCACTCTCTGAAACAGGCAATCAAATGGAGACCAGATGGAAAAAAATATCGGTTGTTAATATCGGCTCGGTTTTATTAATCGAACCGATACCAATATGTTAAAAACGACTAACATCGGTCGATACCGATATTGATTGATTATTATTCTGAGCTACTACAGCAATCAATTTCCCTCTGGGATTAATAAAGTATTTTTGAATTGAATTGATGCCGATATATTGTCCATCCCTAATTAAAATACATAAATTTCAAATCTATCATGTTAAGCTAAATTCATGATATATCCTTATCCCATGCATTCTCTAGTTAGGATAACACTCCCTATTACACTCACTATTTGTCCCTCAAATTTGTCCCTACTCTCCTTAGCTGTTTTCTGATTACGTGGGGGCGGGGTTTGGCATAAACAACACTTTGGTTGGCAGCCACAGTGAAAAGGCTTGTTAAAATTATGGGTTCTGATGTTGAATATGTGGTTTAGAGTTGCAATTCCCCACTCCGCCAGCAAGCGGCGTACACGTTTTGGGACGGCTATTTCAGTTTGGTCACCTTTTCCTGTTCTGGTAGCCGTTGCCCGGGAAACAACTGCCAAACTAAATGAACGATCCTGGTATGAAAAGCTACAATAAAAGCTTAAATTCACGGCTAATCTTCACATACCAGTGATTAATGGACTGCTGTTCATTAGGATCTGCACTCTTGAGTAAAATTCGGCCGTGAGAAGCTGCGTCGGTGTAGCAAGCCGTCTCACCACAATCTCCGGTAAGAGATGCTACATGAACGTTGACATCAGAAAGACATGAAATTGATTGCTGTTAACATATTTCCTGTTTACAAAAACAGTCAGAGTTATTATATTTGTGTTTAAAAACTGTAACACCACGGTGGTACAGATATTAATGTTGTGAGTTTTGAGAATGATTCTAAACATGTTTGAGCTAGTAGCATCCAGCTAAACTGCTAGCATGAGTTAATGCTCAGCTTTTCTGTGTTATTTATTAAGTGTTTGAACATTACGGTTGATTTAGTTAAGTTACCTTTTCGGAGCTATAGAAAGGCAGTAATATTGGTATGCACTACTTAAATGGACTACTTTTAGCTCTATTGACTTAGAAAGTCAGTTAATTGGATACATATTGAAAGCTCAATGTTTTTGTTGATTGTTGAAGTTATAAATGTGATGGTTCATATAAATATGTCAAAGTAGTAATGCTTTAAAAAGGAGTACATGTTTGATAAATAATTTCAGTTATAAATATATTTAAAAACAGTTAAGAAAGAGCTTTAAAAGGATAAATGGTGAGGAGTATATGGTTTAATTTTATTTTATTCTTGGGTGAGTAATCTAAGATACCTTGTGATGCAACTCAATTAACTTTACAATGATTGAGATTTTGTATAACTGAAATAATTAGTTACATTTGATATTTGGCACATGAGTGATGGAAGAAGCATAGATAACAGAGTAATGTATGCATTCTGCACTGTGTGCACAGATTGGTTTTTGATCAGGACTGGATCATTCAAGATCTGAACCTTGAGGGTTCAGTGGCGAGCCAACCCGAAGGAGAGCGACTGTAGACGGACCAGAATACGGATTGATCAGCCGTGGAATCTGCCTCCAGAAGACTTCAGAAACATAATTTCACTTTGACACAGATAAGACTAACACTTTAAAATCTACCCGGGTGGTGTTGGAACCAGTGGAAACAAATTACAAACACACACACACAAGGGACTCTGATTTCTCCCACCAAGGGAGAGTGAACTGAACACCAGAAGCAGATACTCTTTCGCTCTGATAAATCCTTCATGGGGATTTTGATTGGTCTCCTAATTTTGTTTTATTTCATTTGGGGCCCAATTAAGGTGTGCTTGTGCACTACAGGAAGCCAACTTTAGGTAGGCAGGGTTGTAAGTTTTATTTAAATTTTTTTTTCAATACAATTTGAATTCACACTATCCTTGAGTTGTTCCTTTCTCTGCTGATCGTTCCGAGGCTCAGTAGTTCAATCTAGAGCTTTCTGACACTGGTCCAGAATTAACCCAAACATAGTTAAACACATAGCTCATGTTATTTAACGTAACTCGTGTTACATAGGGGTTTAAAAGTACGCTAAACTCGTATTCGGTTCGGTTCAGTGGTTTGAAGGGCTCGGGTTCAATTAATTTTCGGTATATTGTTATTATATTTATTTATTCATTTATTTATTTAATATCTGAAGCGGCTCCTATAGTGAGCAGAACCAGGTGTCATCACAAGCTGCTGATCTAGCATGAGGTATTTAATTATTTCACAGGCTATTTGCGCCACAGACATATATAC